GGTGGAGTGTCCACAATTTGCCGGTCATCTGAGGAACCTCCTCGTTTTAGGTCAATGACTGGGGCAAGAACTGTACTTTGTTTTGTCCTTTGGCTCTAAGATCATCAAAAACAAGGAAAACATAATGAAGTGCCAAACTAAAATTCATACTACTTGCAACAAAGATTTTCTTTCTGTTCCTGCAACAAGCCTTGGAGATACGAGAAAACCATAATCTTAAAACAACAGCTTTTTCATTACTATAACCATATACTCTTTTCTTTCCGCTTTTTAAAAAACATGAGTTTTTCTCCATTTCTTGAAGGGTTTACAGTAAACTTGGTCACTTTCAAAAGATACCTGGGAATGAGGGTTTTGCTCCCGCCTACTAGGATAAAGAATGCCGTCCTACCTCCTTTATTATGAATCTACAAAAGTTTTAAAGGCCGGGCGCGGTGGCTCAAGCCTGTAATCCCAGCACTGTGGGAGGCCGAGGCGGGTGGATCACGAGGTCAAGAGATCGAGACCATCCTGGTCAACATGGTGAAACCCCGTCTCTACTAAAAATACAAAACATTAGCTGGGCATGGTGGTGCGTGCCTGTAATCCCAGCTACTCAGGAGGCTGAGGCAGGAGAATTGCCTGAACCCAGGAGGCGGAGGTTGCGGTGAGCCGAGATCGCGCCATTGCACTCTAGCCTGGGTAACATGAGTGAAACTCCGTCTCAAAAAAAAAAAAAAAAAAGTTTAAAAAAGAAAATCATTCATATACAATCAATTATTGTTAATGATTTTCTATCATACTTTCTTGACCTTACACTTACATTTTTTGCTAGACCAATTTGAAAGAAAGTTGGAGATATCATGACACCTCACCCCAATCTCCTGAAACTGTGGACATTCTCCTATGTGCTATTACCATCCCCAATAAAATCACTAATTCCCGTGGCATTTCCAATCCAGTTCATATTCAGATTCTCCAAGATATCCCCAAAATATCCTTTAAACAGTGGATTTTTTTGAACAAGGATCCTACCAAAGCTCCTAAAATGCTTTTGGCTTTGTGTCTTGATTGAGAACAATCCCTCTTCCCCATCATCATCATCATCTCCTCTTTCTTCCCTCTGACACGATCTTGTAAAATGCTGTTCGTTCTAGATCTGTCTAATAACTACCTGGTTATCTAGTTTAGCTTGTCCCTCCATGCCTTGTAATTCCTGAAACTTGGAGGTTAAAGGCTTGAATTCAGGTTAAAGCTTTTATGCAAGAACACTCCCCAGGTGAGGCAGTGTGTCCCATCCTGCATCACACAGCAGGCGCACTGCTCAGGATGTCTATCAGTAGTGCTAAGGTTGATCACAGCGGTATGGTGGTCAACATTAGATCTTTCGATTAGAAAGTTTTTTTCCTCTTGCAATTTAAAGTGTTATAAATTTTCATTACCACTACAAAAGGCACAAAATAAGCCTTCATCTCTCTTGAATACAACAATGCTTATACATTTAAGCAAACAAAATTTAATCCAAGTAACAACTCACAAAGTAAATACCAAACTTTAAAGAACGGAAGGGGGCTTTATTAGAATCACATTTCTTTTTCTTTTCTTTTTTTTTTTTTCTTTTTTGAGACGGAGTCTTGCTCTGTTGCCCAGGCTGGAATGCAGTGGTACCGTCTAGGCTCACTGCAACCTCCGCCTCCCAAATTCAAGCAATTCTCCTGTCTCTTCCTCCAGAGTACCTGGGATTACAGGCACACGCCACCATACCCAGCTAAGTTTTGTATTTTTATTAGAGACGGGGTTCACCATGTTGGTCAGGCTGGTTTCAAACTCCTGACCTCAGGTGATCCACCTTCCTGGGCTGGGCCTCCCAAAGTGCTGGGATTACAGGTGCAAGCCATCATGCCCAGCCAGAATCGCATGTTTTCCATTATTATTTTTTTCTATTCAATATAAAGTTGGTCCTATGTATCGACAGGTTCCACAACCAACCCCAGACTGAAAATATTCAGAAGAAAATAACAATGCAACAAAAAATACAAATAAAAAACCCAATACAGTATAACAACTTTTTACACAGCATTTACACTGTGTTAGGTATTGCAAGCAATCCAGAGATGACACAAAATATGGGAAGATGTGTTGGTTATGCGTAAATATACACCATTTTATATAAGGGATTTGGGCATGGATTTTGGTATCTAGGGGGGGGTCCGTGGACCACAAGAAACAACTCTTGTGTTTTTTCAAACGGAGATACAAATGAAAGCACAGCTTCAAGTTTTCTCTACCAAATAAATACCTTTACAGGTTTGGCTAGGTCAATCTAGTATTCTGAGTAACTAAACATCCGAAGAGAATCGATGCAATCTTCACTTCCCTTTTAAAAAAAAACCCACAAAACTAACTGTACCTAGCAATCTCAAAAGATGTTAGAAAATTAGTAGAAATAACTTCACAAACTACTTCAAGTTTTAAAAATCTGTATGAGGCCGGGCATGGTGACTCACACCTACATCTTTTCTGCAAAGCAAAAGTTACACGAAATCTACAAAGATTTTATAAATTAACTTAAAAAATTAAAGAGAAAAGCGAGATTTGTTTTGCTAACCTTCTTTTTATTTGCAATGAAAGCTTGTTTTAAAAAGACAAATACTGGCATCCAAAAAATTTAAATTTGGTAATGATTAATTTTAAAGACAAAAAAACCTAACCAACAGAATCGACAAAAGAAATACGAATGGTTTTGCTTTAATGGTTTTGCTTTACCTGTGAGTATCCTAATCCTAAAAACCCTCTCTACAATACTGAGCAATCAAATGTAAGCACTTCCATGTATCTACTGATATGCTAAAGGGAAAGGAAAACTAAGTAGAACTTAAAAAAATCTACATTACGGGAAATTTCAAACATGAAACTGAAGAGATTATGAATTCTTAAGTCTCTACTTCCCAGTTTCAACAATTATCAACTCATGGGTAGCTCTGTTATTTCCTCCCTCCCCTGCCCAGAATGGAATTGTTTCTAAGTAAATCCCCAAAATACATCATTTTATCAGGAAATATTTCAATATGTATCTCTAAAGTACTTTATCTCAACTTCAATTACTGCCTCACTGACAAGGAGCCTTTTTTTTTTTTTTTTTGGAGACGGAGTTTCGCTCTTGTTACCCAGGCTGGAGTGCAATGGCGCGATCTCGGCTCACCGCAACCTCCGCCTCCTGGGTTCAGGCAATTCTCCTGCCTCAGCCTCCTGAGTAGCTGGGATTACAGGCACGCGCCACCATGCCCAGCTAATTTTTTGTAGTTTTAGTAGAGACGGGGTTTCACCATATTGACCAGGATGGTCTCAATCTCTTGACCTCCTGATCCACCTGCCTCAGCCTCCCAAAGTGCTGGGATTACAGGCTTGAGCCACCGCGCCCGGCGACAAGGAGCCTTTTAATACACTTTCCCTCACACATGAAATTTTCACACCACAGATACACTGTACACAATATGAGCAAGATTTTTTCATGCCCCAAAAGACCGATAGTTGCTCTGTTTGGGGGGATATAGCCTCTATTACAAATGCATACGCTAAAACATAAAGACCCCTAAAACATAAGCAAACCATACTATTCTCATGCCTCCATTTTAATAGCAAATATCCAGTTGACAACTATGTTTTTGTTTCACATGTTATTTCAAGGACATCGCCAATACCCAACCTGTACACAACAGAAACAAAAGCAATTAGCATCCAGACTACATATGCCTGAGGCCTTCACAACCCTCAATAATTCACACCCAGGCCGGGCACGGTGGCTCAAGCCTGTAATCCCAGCACTTTGGGAGGCCGAGGCGGGTGGATCACGAGGTCAAGAGATCGAGACCATCCTGGTCAACATGGTGAAACCCCGTCTCTATTAAAAATACGAAAAAAAATTAGCTGGGCATGGTGGTGCATGCCTGTAATCCCAGCTACTCAGGAGGCTGAGGCAGGAGAATTGCCTGAACCCAGGAGGCGGAGGTTGCGGTGAGCCGAGATCGCGCCATTGCACTCCAGCCTGGGTAACATGAGTGAAACTCCGTCTCCAAAAAAAAAAAAAATATATTTTTAAAAAGAAGAAATACAAATAAATCCTACTACTCATACTTTGCAAAAACATAAAAAAAAGCTGCATATGAATTTTAAAATTCCACCTGGCTCAAAAAATAGTAAAGAAGGGCTTTTAAAGTATTTTAAATAGCTGAGATTCTACAAGTTGAGTATCCCTAATTCAAAATGCCCGGGACCAGAAGTGTTTTGAATTTTGGAATATGCACATTACAATTACTGGTTCAGCATCCCTAAGACGAAATTCTCCAATGCACATTTCCTTTGAGTGGCATGTTGGCACTGAAAAGACTTTGGAGCATTTCAGATTTCGGATTTTTGAATTAGGGATAGTCAATCTATAGCCGAATAAGGGCATAGGAAAAAAATCTTCAACATGAGGTTTTAAGTTATTTTTCTTTTTTTGAGACAGAGTCTTGCTCTGCTGCCCAGGCTGGAGTGCAGTGGCGTGACCTTGGCTCACTGCAATCTCCGCCTCCCGGGTTCAAGCAATTCTCTGCCTCAGCCTTCCGAGTTGCTGGGATTACAGGCACCTGTCACCACACCCGGCTAATTTTTTGTATTTTGAGTAGAGACGGGGTTTCACCATGTTGGTCAGGCTGGTCTTGAACTCCTGACCTCATGATCCACCCACCTTGGACTCCCACGGTGCTGGGATTACATGCGTGAGCCACCACACCTGGCCTATAAGTTATTTTTCTAACAACGCACTCAAAATATACACTTTAGGTCTTCAGTCTACACGTGCAGTTTGCTGTGATTTTGAGATGTAACAGCTATAAATCGTAAAACAGATTCCTCATATTGACTGCTCTGATTAGCCATGTCAATTATCTTCACCTGACAGACAGCAGCGAAGTTCATTCATTAACATGTTGATGAACATTTCAAGTGTAAAATATTCCCAAATCCAAAGAAGGCCTTACTTTTCCCTTTCTTCTATTTCCTTTTGTCGTTCCAGCTCCCGCTGTCTCTGTCGTTCCTCTCTTTGGCGCTTCACTACTTTCTCATAATCATTAGGAAACATAGGATCATATTCGTCAGCTAAGGGAATCAGAACTTCCCCTGCAGAAAACCCACTGGGAACAGGATCCTGAGGAAAGTGAAAACAGCAGTAAAAATCATCTTTATATCTTACAAGTTTACTCACAGAATTAAGGTCAAAGCATATGGGAGAGAAAAGGGCCTTGAGCATCATCTTGTCCCATCCTTTGTTTTATAGACAAAGAAAACAAATTCTAGCCAAGGCCACATGTCTAGTCAGGTGGCAGCAGAAACAGGACACAAAATGTCACCTCTTAGATTAGCACTATTTCTATCATACCCTATGGCATTTTTCCTGGAATTCCTAAATAAGGCACCACCAGTTACAATGAAAGATACTAGTGCTTTGAATAAACAAAAGTTAGAATATTTATAGTAAAGCACCAAATACTTGTTTTTATAGATCTCTGTGACAACTTAAAAAACAAAACAACTATGAACACCACAATCATTCTTGCAGTCATCATTTTAATAGAACTTCAGATTCTGATTACATGGAGTCCTTAGAAAGCATCTTCTTGGTCTTCTTAATCCTCTGAACACACGTCCCTTCCCAGATAGGCTGCATTTCAGGCACTGGTTTTGACACAAGGGGATGTAATTTCCTTCCCAGCATCATAATTTTTTTAAGGTCCACTAAAATCAGGTTTAGATGATAACATATCAGGTTTTCTCATCTATACATTTAGAAACTTGATCTACTCTTTCAAAGAAAAGAGGAAGCCGTGACAAAGAATCAGCAAAACAAGACAGGTAGCACACAGCTGGTAAGCTAGGAAACACATGAGCAGACACAGAACTTTACCCTAGGCTAGCAGTCTCGTTCTACACATGGTGCTGGAAGCCCTGACCCAACTTTCCTAAACCTCCACACTTTCTCCTGTTAATTTCCTTAGCATACTTCTTCCTTACTATCTGTAACAATAAGATGACCTCTCTGGTTTTCAAAGACACCTCAAACAAGCACAGGTTAAGATTAATGCTTTTTAAAAATAAAAAATAAATAAAAAAATAAAAAACCACACACACACACATCTAAAATGACAAAGATTCGTGTCTTTGAGCAACCAGTCTGTACCTCTTACAGGAGGTACACTGCCCAACTGTATCAAAGGCAAGAAGGTCGTTTGTAAATGTGTTTTCTGCTCGAACACAAAATTGGTAAGATCAACTCAGCTTACACACCACATTAACACACATAAATCTTAACAGCTCCTGTGTTTCACAGTTCGGTTTGACATTTTGCCCTGCAAAACAAACACTTCATTTCAATGAAATATCAGGAAATGCTATGATCCAATGAATAAGAACAATTAGGAAAATAACTATCATCACCTCCCAGGTCCTACCACTGGAAAACATATTTAATGTAGGGCTCTCAAAAGTTATGTATTTGTATGCATTTTATAAAAGACATTTAAAAAATACAAAAGCAGAGGGAGAGTTCTTTTCAGTTATTATTTAGAGAGAAACTGACAATTTATCTAACACGATTATTGCAATGTGTCTAAGAGAGCAGTCGATATGAAGGTTCATTCTCTGACACTTCAAAATTTCGAAGAAAAAAACTTTTACGTATAAACCCTGCTAAGCCTAACAATGGATCATTCATTGTTTTCTAAATGCTGCAGTGAATGAAGTGATTTGTTCAATTTAAAAAATTTACTCACCCTCACATGCCTAAGGTGATACTATGCACTGCCCGGAGTAAATTAACGCCAAAACAGATTGCCTATAAAAACAGCTGATATCTTAATGCCACCCCAGGAAATCTAAGAAAATAAGCCTAACTACATAAAAAGATCTCTGTAAAGATGTTCACAGAGGGCTGGGCACGGTGGCTCATGCCTTTATTCTTAGCACTTTGGTAAGCCAAGGCAGGTAGATCGTTTGAGGTAAGGAGTTCAAAACCAGCCTGGGCAACATGGTAAAACCTCATCTCTACAAAAAATCAGTTGGGTGTGGTGGCATATGCCTGTGGTCCTAGCTACTCAGTGGACTGAGGTGGAAGGATTGCTTGAGCCTGGGAGGAGGAGGTTGCAGTCAGCCAAGATTGAGCCACTACACACCAGCCTGGTGACAGAGCAAGACAAAAAACCCAAAAAGACATTCAATAGAGTGGTATTTATAAAGGCAATGTAAAAGCAAATCTAGGTGGTTTTACAGTTAGGAAATACTTGTGTAAATTATGACACATTCGCTTAATGAGACTATACTTAAATACTGATCATGAAAATTATGTTAACGAGGAGGAAAAATGCTTACTGATTAGGAGAATAATATTACAGGTACTAGAACCAATACACAATTACAGAAGAAACAATAAACCAGTTTTTTAATTAAATGTAATAGGAAAAAACTAGGTATCAAATTTATGGGAGAAAACGTTAAATGACTAGGAATCAGCAAAAAACACCTCTACCATGGGGTGCCTTCCCTCCTGAAGAACTACCAGCCCTCAGAAGCAGCACCCGCTCCCCTGGTCAGAAAAGGGTAACTCAAGGGTAAGCTGCAGCCTCGGCCAGCCCCAGAACACAAGCAGGACAGACAGCAGACGGAGCCCAAGCCAGAACACCGACACAAAATGAAGACGGGCAGGAGTGTGCCTGTGGGGCTGTCCAGCCTGATGCAGCCCTTCCCACAAGTGGTGGGGAAGACAGGTGCACCTTGCTAAGAAACTGTCTTGATAGCATTATTATTAATCTTTCGGTCATTTTTCATCAAGCAGTTTTGTGCAATGTATGGTGGTGTTTAAATGACCACAGTTGTTATTTGAATGCCATCTGTGAAAAGATAAACGCATAAATAGTAGGTATAATTTTAACTAGTTTATCTATTACACTCATTTTACCTCATTTTGTGTAGTTTTAACTATTATTTTGAGTTATTCTTTTCTAGATCTTCTTCCTCCTCAGTAACCCAATTTATAGAGTTGACCACATCTGTTTATTTTTAAGCATATGTAAAATCACTGGAATCATAAAGGTTAAGGTGGTAGAAGAGGGTTTTTTTTTTTCAAACCCCTTTCTCTGTTTTAATCCACAATAAATCAGTAAGCACTAACATTGTTTATGATAGCGAAGAATGAGAAACCCATATATCCAGCATTAAAGGAATTATAGTCCATCTACACAAGGGAACACAGGGAAGCCATTAAGATGATCATACAGTCCTGTATTTTTTGACACAGAGTCACAATGTATTAAGTAAGAAAAGCAAGTTAGCAGAAGGCAGAGTAGGCAAAGAATGGAAAAACAAAGTTTTTCACTTCTGCAGTGTATGATTGCAGGTAATTCTTCTTTCTGCATATCTCTAGTTTCTGATTTTTCTACAACCATTTTCCTTCAAACAGATAAATTTTAAAATTGGCAAAACAAAAGTAAAAATTAGGTGGAAAATAACATTGACTAGGTTTCAAAGGCCTAATAAGGAGACCATCTGTTAAGAGTGGCTGGGCACGGTGGCTCACCCTATAATCCCAGAACTTTGAGAGGCTGAGGTGGGCGGATCTAGAGGTCAGGAGTTGAAAAGACCGGCCTGACCAACACAGTGAAACCCCGTCTCTAACAAAAACACAAAAATTAGCCAGGCATGGTGGCCCATGCCTGTAATCCCAGCTACTCAGGAGGCTGAGGCAGGAGAATCGTTTGAACCTGGGAGGTGGAGGTTGCAGTGAGCCGAGATCATGCCATTGCACTACAGCCTGGGCAACAAAAGTGAAACTCCGTTTTAAAACAAAAAAGAAAAAAAAAAGAAAATAATAATAATAAAAAAGGAATCAATCTCACAGACAGAAAGAGAACATAATTTACCTGGGCCACAGAGAGACTGCACTTCAAAAAAAAAAAAAGAGTAACATACATGCAAAATAAGCCACATGGAAAACAGGAAATCTACCAAGGTCATAGGCAGGTACAGGCTTACCTTCAGCCCAGCTGCTACATGCGGTGGAGTGTCCACAATTTGCCGGTCATCTGAGGAACCTCCTCGTTTTAGGTCAATGACTGGGGCAAGAACTGTACTTTGTTTTGTCCTTTGGCTCTAAGATCATCAAAAACAAGGAAAACATAATGAAGTGCCAAACTAAAATTCATACTACTTGCAACAAAGATTTTCTTTCTGTTCCTGCAACAAGCCTTGGAGATACGAGAAAACCATAATCTTAAAACAACAGCTTTTTCATTACTATAACCATATACTCTTTTCTTTCCGCTTTTTAAAAAACATGAGTTTTTCTCCATTTCTTGAAGGGTTTACAGTAAACTTGGTCACTTTCAAAAGATACCTGGGAATGAGGGTTTTGCTCCCGCCTACTAGGATAAAGAATGCCGTCCTACCTCCTTTATTATGAATCTACAAAAGTTTTAAAGGCCGGGCGCGGTGGCTCAAGCCTGTAATCCCAGCACTGTGGGAGGCCGAGGCGGGTGGATCACGAGGTCAAGAGATCGAGACCATCCTGGTCAACATGGTGAAACCCCGTCTCTACTAAAAATACAAAACATTAGCTGGGCATGGTGGTGCGTGCCTGTAATCCCAGCTACTCAGGAGGCTGAGGCAGGAGAATTGCCTGAACCCAGGAGGCGGAGGTTGCGGTGAGCCGAGATCGCGCCATTGCACTCTAGCCTGGGTAACATGAGTGAAACTCCGTCTCAAAAAAAAAAAAAAAAAAGTTT